ATCCAGGCCCAAAGACGGAAATAGCAATTGTCAACTTTTTCTACTATGGATAAAAGTTACTATGTACCTTGAGAATAATAATAAAAATAATCTTTACTTTCAACATGACTGTTTATTTCTCAAAAGCTTGTTGCCTATGCACTCCAATCTCACATTTGTCTGAACATCATTTAGCATAGTTGCTAATAATAGCACATCTCCGTACCTCATTTAAACCCTACAGTCTGGAAGGAAAATATTACTCTACTCAAACTATCAGTGAAGAAACTGAGAAGTTGAGATTGAGCTTTGTAGGTTGTAATAGGTAGTTTGAACCTGGGTAGCTGTTTGTAAATCCAGGGCTCATCATCCTCCACCCCCATTCTATATGTGATGAAATAATGGACGCCTTTCTCTGGAGAATGAAAGAAGAAATAGGTGGTGTGAGCCCAATGAGTCTTCTAAGCTTCCGACCTCACCTAAAGGCAGAAGTCACGTTGCTAGCAGGTGGAGGCCAATGAGACCTTGCCCAAGCCTTTGTTTGGACTGCACATCCAGTGGACGTTCAGAAGCGGGGCTCCTGCAGGGGCGCTTTCTGAAGACACTCTCACTCGGCTGCTGTTTGTGTTGTGCTGGTTTGTTATTGTTGGCCTAGGGAGCTAGCAGCAGGACAGCAGGCTGACTTTGAGCCAAGGGGCGGTCTGTTCACACCCCAGGGATGTGGCGGTTCACTAAGTTAGCTGTGGTTTGAAAGCGTGGCTGCTGCACAGTCTTGCCTGCTTCCCATTTTGTTAGTCATGAGATAATACACACAGGCTTGTTCTGCTGCGTCCAGAGACCCTTTCAGGAGACTTGGTTCTTGATGGAAGTCTCTCCAGTCTCCCTGCCTGATCTTTGTCAGATACTGGGCACATCTAATGAAATAGGAAGAAATGAATGAGAGAGAGAGAGAGAGAGAGAGAGAGAGAAAGAGGAGAGAAAGAGAGAGTTATTTTATTATTATTCAAAGTAGCCAATGAAGAAAATTGAAACACCCAACTGTTACTTGCAAAGACCAGTGTGTGTCATGTTTTAGACTAAAAGCAAGCTAGAAGTGAGGCAACAGGGATCGTGAGGCCAGAGTAGCTCTGCCTAAAATTCTCTAGGATTGTTGTATACCCAGGTTAAGCAGGAAAATGTTCTAAATCTAGGTCTGAACTCATCTGACTCTTGAACTATGACCCAGTTTCCCTCTGGTTAAATGATGACTGAGGCACGAGGCAAGATGCTGGTGGATTTGTCCCATTGTACCTTCCTGCCATTTTCTTTCCTTTACCAAGTTTTGTCAAGAGCAGCATAGAGTTTTCATAGCAGCTTCTCCGAGGACTCGTCTGAAAGCTCTGTTGTCATGTGGGTGGATACCAGAGTAGGAAATGAGTGACTTCTTGTAATAACTTCTCTTCATAGCCCCAATATTGGTGCAAGGATTTAGCATCAAAGGAGCGGCCAGAGCTCACACCAGGTCCACTGCCAAGAGTGACTTGAAACAGATTTCTCCCTGTGCTGTGGCCAACAGCTGAAAGCTCCGCTCTCATGCTCCAGTGGCATCCCCTCCTGCAGACTCTTTGCCTTGATGCACCTTGCTCACATCTCTCCTGTGCTTTGCTCTTCCTTTCTCCAGCTGTCTAAGGATTAGTGGACCTGAGACTATTGCTCTGATACTCAAAAAGGCAAGAAGTTCACAAAAAGATGTTGAAAGGACATTTACATTTTACCTATTTTAGCCAAAGTAGTATTTTGTGTAGTAAAATATACTGTTTTTTTTTTAAAACTTTCCTCTCATGGTGAAGCAACAAGGAGACCACAGAAATACAATTCATTGTGCGTCACTAAAGAAGGCTCTTCCACAGGCTCAATTTGAGTAGCATGAGCCAGTAATGTTAGGGGACTGACTTCTCCTGGGTTTGAAACTAGCTGACATACATATTAAAGTCAATATTATCTATACAAAGAGATCCAAGTGAGCAAAAGAGGTAATTATCCTCAAAGAGACATTTCACATACAATTTTATTGTTTGAAAATACAGCTTGTTGGACTAGGAACATAGCTCAGCTGGTAAGAGCTCGATGTTCAACATGAGGACCTGAGCTGCATTCCCATACTTCGTGTAAAACACTTGGTGTTGGGAAAATGAGTTTGTAACCCCAGTCAGTTCTGGGGAGGCAGAGACAGGCTGATGTCGGGGCTCTCTGATCAGCTAGTCTAGCTGCACTGGTGGGTTTTGTCTCAAAAACTAGAGATGGTTCCAGAAGAACATCATAAAGCCTGTCATCCCTATGCAACTGTATGCATGGATGTGTATGCCACATGCACTTGGACACTTATTGGCCCCCAAGTACTTGCACAACTCCATTACCTGCAAAAACATAAAAACAATTAAAATGAAATTTGGTCATGAAGCCGGCCTCTACTACTGACTTTCATTCAAGTTTCTACTGTTAAAGCCTAAGTTAAAATTCAAAGCTGCAGAGAAGCCGATGGCTATGTAGCATCTCCTTGATTAAACAGAAATACTTAAGCACTCAGGAACGACCAGGAGAAGTGTCTCTTAAAGGCCTTAGCTACAGCTGAGCATTGTTGTGACTGTTTCCACGGCTAGACCATGAACACGTTTTCTGCAGAAGCCTGGTCAGCTAGTGGCCTTAATTAACTTTCCAATGGAGAGCGCTGCGGTTTACCACTTATTAAATATCCACCACAACAATGTACAGTTTCTTTTCCTTCCACACCTCACTTAGTCAAGACACCAAGAGGAACCCGCAGCGTGGAACGGCTGTCAATTTAAATACATGCCATGTGTGATGGTCAGCTGGAGCCCACAGGCTTTGGGAGAAGCTCAAGACCTGAGCAGCACCAGGCGAGTGACAGAATTGATAATCTGAGGCAGAGGGTTCACTCCCTCAAGAGGAGTCGGGTAAGCCACCCTTGCTCGTTCATAGGAATGCATCCGGTAGGAAATTTGGCCTTCTGGGTACTGTTAGTTTAGAGACCTTGTTTCTGGAAATCATGCAGAAGGTGGGGAAATGAGAAGATGGACGAAGATCATTCCCTCGCCTGAAGCATGTTAAACAGTGCACCCACTGGATACAGAAGAAGGCATAACATTACTCCTTGAACAAGTCTGCTCAATACAGCTCTCAGCTAGTCTGCCAGCTCTGCACAGGGCGTTGGTTCACAGGAGAGATGTGGCAGTTTGAGATGCAATCGAGACAGAATGAGCTTTTGTGATTAGCTAGGCCGAGTGGCTAAGGAAAAGTAGTAACGATAAAATTATTCCTTTCCTCTCTCCTACAGTTTTCAGATGCACACCCATGCACATATATGCTCTTCTATCTGTGAGGAGTTAGCTGGTGAACCTTCAGCTTGTGTTGTAAATTCTCTGGGAAAAAAAAAGCGATTCTCTTGTTGAATTCCTCTTCATGTAAGATTGTCTTGGAATTTCAAGGAAGACTTTCGTTGTTGTTGCTGATTATTGTTCTTTGTTTGTTTGTTTAAACCTTTAAAAATAATATGTGAAAAGCTTCAAAGAAAGCATAACGGGAAAAATATATAAAAACACAAATTTTCCTAAACTTCAGCCTTGGGTGGACTGAAGCCGAAGTGAGAAGTTCAACAAAGCAATAGAAAATGATGACAGCTCAGAGTTTCAGAATTTGAAGACAGCAGCAGGATTAGACACTTCGGGTTGTCTTCGCACACATTTCTTACGGGAGCTAATTCCATTTGACATGCAAGACCAAAGCGAGATTACAGAGGCATAGCCCCATGGCGAGGTGTATGCTGTAGCTAAAAGCTGGGATTTGAATAATTGTGCAGGCTTACTCCAAGAATCAGGCGAGAACAGAATGAATGGATTATTACAAGGAACTTTGTACATTTTTAACTGCTGGACTTAATAAAATACCCTCTGTGTGCGAACAGTGTTATGGTCGTCTGCACTTCTTCTGCTTGAAGTTTGTGGTAGGATCTATCAAACATGAGGCAAAGCAGACACTGCTCTTTTAAAGGAAAGGATTTATAATGAAGAACTGGGCTGGGTCACGCCCACATGACTTACAGAGGAATGTGAAATTTGGAGAACATGAGATGAACGTATTTATGGTCCTCCAAAGCTACACAGAATTCATTTCCTGTGCCAAGAAGTTTGAAAAAAGTGGAAAACGGAGTTCAGGGAGAGTGGGCCACAAAATGGAGGGGTTTTGTTTCACTGTTTCAGTTCACTAGGAAGGCCATTTATTACTGAGAAAAAATTACTAACCCACAAGTAGTGTGTGTGTGAGTATGTGTGTGTGCGAGTGAGTGTGTGTGCATGAGTGTGTGTGTCAGTATGTGTGTGCATGAGGCATGAGTGTGTGTCAGTATGCATGTGTGCATGAGTGTGTGTGTGTCACTGTGTGTGTGTGCATGAGTGTGTGTGTATGTGTGTGCATGAGGCACGAGTGTGTGTGAAAGCGCACATCTGTAAGAGGCAGAAAGAATAACAGATACAAGGAGTTCCCTGTACTTCGTCAAGGTGAGAATTATTAAATTTTTTTTATAATTCTTATTTAGCACTCAGAAAATGAAAGCTAAAAATGCTGATCCGTGTGAGGTTCCCAGAAGCTTTAAGAAAGCAAAAATCGTCTTCTAAGTGTTGAGAATTATGAGAAGATGCCCATTGACAGCCAACTAGACGTCTTCTTGTAAAATCCACTGACTCAGATTTGAAATTATTTGATTTTATTTCTTCCTTAAAATAGCTATTATCTCCTTGCTCCTGAGACCTCGGGTAGGATCTCTCCAGTGGCCTTAGTCAGCCCTGTGGGAAGGGAAGTCCCAGGGGAAAAGACAGAAGCTACCCTGGAGGTAGGGCTCTGGCACAGACCAGCTGGGGTCAAAGGCCCTCCCTAGGAAGGTAAAAAAGAAACCAGCTTGCAAGAGAAAATCTCTGTCCCGCAAGTGGCCTGTCTTTCTCATTGCCGCCGAGTGCTTCATTAAGCCAGAACATACCTGCAGCTTTCCTCACAAAACGTGTCTGCCAACTTCATCCTGCCATGCAAAATGGTAGCAGGAATGATGAACACATTACAAGTTTGTAGACCCTAAAATTAAACTCCACCTCATTTATTTCATATTTCAGAGAGCGGCGGCGGGGTTGGGGGCAGGGAGGCTGGCAGAGAGGCGCAGATTCTTCCGGAGAGCTCTGTGGCTCTCTCTCTGAGAAGGGATTTGTGCTGTCTGTGGATGTCTTCTCGAAGGCCCAATGCTGCTTGCAACAAGGAGGAAGGGAGCAGTGTGTTGCAGAGGTAGAGTCAGGAATCCCAGCTCTGGGGGAGAAATAAAGAGGTATATTACTAGTCTAATCTTCCTCTGGGTTGAATATCATTCAGGTCTTTGCTACCAAACCCACCGTTAGAGGCCAGCTTCAGGGCCCAAGTTTCACCCCAGATCCTTTGAATCAAACCTGCATGATAATACAAGAGCCAGTGACTCCTACAGATGTCACACTGTCAGCAGCAACTCTGTAGACACTGGAAATGAACCTCAACTGAAACTGGAGCTCACATCTTTAGGGACAGAAAGGGACCCAACTCCCTGCTTCTCAGAGAAGATGATGAAGGTCCAGAGAAGAACAGAGCTCCAGACACACCCAACCTCAGTTTTGTTTTCCCTGAAAGCCAACAGAAGGACCAGAGATCACCACAGTTAGTCTCACTACATTCTAGGAAGCCAAAAGAATGGGATTCCAGTCATCACAAGTAAGGTAGGGTCTGCTTTCAACGTAAAGACACTGATGTTGGAATGAAATCCCGATGTTCTGCCCGTGGAATGACTGGTGAAACGTGAATTAATCTCCCAGGGAAACATGATTGAGATGTAAAGCATCTCCATGAAATCCCCCAAACCCTTATATCATCCAGACAGTGACTTTCTACTGTTTGATCAATAACAATATTAATTATAGATAATTATTGTGATAGGGTGGTATAACTGTGGGACTTCATTTACTCTTGAGTCTATGTATTGATCAAAGAGTGAAGACTTGGTTGAGTCCAGTGCTAGATAAAAGAACTCTTTTGGGGACCTACATAATTTTATGACATTATTCTACTGCATAAATGGGTAATTCCTAGACACCATTTAATGTTTATTCACACAATTCAATGGCAATAAAACCCATGTGAATGATTTCGTTCACTATCCTTAATTCTATATGAACAAGATACAAACTACCTTTAGTAAATATATATGGTGAACAAAATGTGATATTCCTTGATGCTTCAAAATTACAGGATATATCCAGTGTGTTCTTTGCATGTATAAAAGGTTCCCAGTGTTCACTGCCATAAGTAAAAGTGCCTGACCTGACTTCCAGGTTGATATGGCCCCAGGATACAAATGTGTGCCAAATGCACATTCTAAGTGCAGGCAAAAACTGAGACCTCTGTTTAATTCCCTGGCACTTTCCCGAGTCTAGACTTGAGCTTTCTGACTGCCACAGAGGAATACTGAGCATGAACAGAACCTGGAGAGGTAGATGTCCATGGAAGGACAATGAACCACAATGAAATGTTCCTTTTTAAAAGATAACTCCCATCATACGTTAATTTCCACACTGCTCAAGATAACATACTGAGTTACTTTAACATAAAAGAATAAAATAGTTGAAAAATCAATATAGATAAGAGAAATTAAATCACTTAAAAATACATGTCATTCCCTTGAGTTTCTTTAAGACAGTCATACATCTTGCTGACATGATCTTTCAGGGAGAGGCTAGGTTTTCTCTGATCAAAGCAGAGAACTTCACATTTTCACTTTGTTATTTTTTCCGTTTAATTATTATTTGCTAATGATGAAAGCCAGGGCTCCATATATACGCCACCCTGGACTACATTCATAACCCCCAAACTGAGCTGTGCTGGAATCAAGGTTTTGCGGCTTCCTCATTTGAATCCTAGGCTGCCATTTACTACCAATAATCTCCCAATGTGCTCTTTATCTCTCTTTATAAAGTGAAGACAATAGCACACAGCTCCCGGAGCTGCTGCAGGAGTTTCCTGGCAGTAAGTGGGAAGCACCTGGGAGGGACTTGCCATGCACTGGGCACTCTTTACAATGAACACCATCAATAACCCCTTGTATTTTCCATAGATTGGCTTGTTTGTGGTTATACTACAATTTATTAAGGAATAATGTTCTCTAAATTCCTTCAGAGGATCTGAAAGTCAAGTTTTCATCCCCAGCTTAATTAAGATGCTTTATGAAAAGTATATTTTGGGAAAATGAGGTAAGTCACGGAAATCAGAAACATTGTCTTGTCCTTGTTAGTTGACTCATTTGTTTAAACATACCCTTCCACACCCCCACACAAACATAGGTATAAATACATACACATATTTACACACATAGACACCAACATACACATACAACACATACATATACACAAACATACATATACATACATGCATACACATATACACATGTACATGTATTTGGAGGCTGCTCTATTGTTCCCTGCCACCAGGACCCAGATTTGCCTTCTGACTTTACTCTGTGAAGCCATTGGCTGAAACAGCTTTATTCACTAACCAATAAAAGCAACACATATACAGAAGGACATCCCACATTATTACACATAAAAATATACATACAGACATATATGCACACATCAGTAACATCTCACAATCCACTATAAGTTCTCCAACGAGTGCTTTTTCATAAAGCAGCCTAAATGTGACCCAGTATTCTAGTAGAGCTCTTACTATTCAAAACCCAATAACGTGAGAACAGAAAGCAGCTCGAGGTTCCTTTGTCTTTTCTCAGGTAAAATCAATTCAGTTATTATCCACAGTTGGGCACAGAACAGCATATAAACAGCATGGCTTCAGCCAGCAGTCCTTCTCAGAGAGTGGGCTGCATGGCTAATATTCCATTCGCTGATTTACTAAGCATTGTCAAGGGAGAAATGGAGAAGAAATTCATCTTAGATACAAAAATTCATTCTAAAGAACTATTAAGAATTATAAAAGACAAGAGGGAAGAAATATCAGGACAAAGTTTTATAAAATCAGGTATTCTACCTGACTCTATTCTGGGGTGTTTGGTCTGAGGCAGACTCTCCAGGTCTAACATTTTCCCCTCTGTTCTTTAGAGAGGGATGGTTTGCCATAGTTTCTGTGAGTACGAAGAAAATGAACCACTGACATGACGCTGAAGATCAGAGAGAAGCCAGAGAAAGTAAGCTGGCTGGTGAAAGCGGCATTGTGGAATCCATAGAATACACTCACAATGACTCACAGGAAGAAAATGACTTGGTCTTTCTTAAAACTGTAACAGTTAGTCAATTGAGCTAACTAATAGGATCTGAGAAGATGTAAATAAGTGGGGTTTTCTATTAAGAAACAGAACGAGGAGACAATTTTCAGCAGACAGGAAAGAAGGCAAATAGATTTTTTTTCCTCCAAAGGCAGAGCCAAGATTTCTCAAATGAGTTCCTTCCTAAAAGAGATAGAAGCAAAAGGCACGGAGCAACATAATATAATGTGCTCATGCCTAAATGCAGCTCATGCCTAAATGCAGCTCATGCCTAAATGCAGCGGTGATGCCGTCCTCTTCTACCCATCAAGCTGTGCATGAGGGAATGCAACACAAAACGGAACCCAGAAGCAGCCCCTCAGCGTGGAAGCTTCAGAACGCTTGCTCCGTGTGCAACAATACCGGGAAGGTGAGAAGAGCGCAGCTCCTCTGAGCGGATTAACATGAGAGTGGAGCAGAGCGAGTGGATTTACAGAGATTAGGATGTAGCCAGCTTTGTCCAGAAGATTGTGCAAAGTTCTTACTTGGCCTTGAATCTCAGACAAGTGGGAACCCTGCCTCCCATCAGGAACACTCCTTGGGATCTTTTCTGATATTTAATTTTGTTCCATCAAAAAATAAAACTTAGGCACTGCAAATAATTCCCTAAGACATCTCTCTCTTTCTGGCTAGGGTCAAAGGCACAAGGTGAGGGAGGGGTCAGTGCTATGATTTTGCTATTTCATTGTGGCACAAGGACTTCGAATATTTTTTAATCTGCATTGTGAATAGCACAGTCTTTGATGAAGCCTAAAATGGGGTTTCAAGCCTTCCTAAAACAGATCAGACTTTAAGTCAGGTGAATTTCGAGACCTTGGATGCTGATATTTATAAAACTCCAAGGACTCCATACCAGACTTTTGTCGCAAAGGTCAGCATTGTTTTCTCTAGCAGAATATCATTTTTAAAGGAATTAAGAAGAAACATGATGAAATAAAAGAGAGAGAAGAGAGAGACAGAGTGCAGGGGGAAGAAAGACAGACAGAAACAGATGAGAGAGACAGTGGGGGGGGGCAGAACCTCAATACACAAATGCTCATAAATCCAAACAGACACACAGATGATGTTGAAGACAAGAGCCGGTACTACTCTGTGTCTGTGTCTCTCAGACGAGTGTGGACTCATATTTGGGGCCATGACTTAAGGAGGCAGTTGGGTCCATGATGCTTTCAGGCTATTGAAGTTGCCTGGCGAAATCCCTTGATCCCCATTGCCTGTCATCTGAAGGTTGGAAATCACCGTGGCCAGGGCCGGGTTGTGTTCTGTGAACATTTAGAGAACTCACTCGGGTCCTTAATCTTCCTCGTGATGGACAGGAGTGCAACTTCAGTGAAGAAAGCCTTCCTGCTCTTTGCCTGTATAAACTTCCTCACTTCTCACTAAGACCCAGGAGCCGTAGGTCCTGCGATAGAAAGAAAGCCAAGAAAACTATCAGATGTCTTCAAACCTGGGTGCTCCTGGGCTCAGAGATGCCTCCGTGGCAAGACAAAAATAAAAGAATAAATAGGAGTAAAATACTTGGAGCGCCATGACACACCGTGCTGTGCCTAAATGTGATAGTGATGCCGCCACCCTCTTCTACGTTCCCTGCTCACTCCCCCCCCACCCCCCTACCTCCCGCCAGACAGGATAGGTTGGCATGGCAATTCTCCAAACACTCACTTGATGTGAAAGCAAAGAGGCAAATGGGCTCAGGTGTTACGCAATCCAAAAGCAGGAGCCAGTGAAGGACTAGGCGGCCTGACTGTGGAGCAGACACAGGCCTCTGGAGCCACAGGCCGGCCACCTCTTCGTTTCACTTCTTTGGCAAGCTTTTCTTTGTGCTTTTGAAGAGAAAAAAATATTTTTAAGTAAGAAAGAAAATAGTGTTTATTTATGTACGGTGTGTATGCAACTCATTCCTAAACAGAACTACAAAGAAGCAGGGTCTCGTGAGCTGTTCAGTTTTCCAGCCTGGGTCCTGATGGGCGCCGACAATTCTTCTCATATACAAGGCTGACTGGAGGGAGGGGTGGGATTGAATAACAAATCTAAGTGATACAATCACATCATTTACAATCGCATAATGGACCATATCCCAATTTTCAAAAGGCATAAAGTATCCTCATTAATACGATAAGTACAGCAGTGAAATCAGCGCTGTGATTTTTATCAGGGTTTTTGACTATACGTGAATTAGAATGTAAAATGCATACAGAATTTTTAATGGGAAGGCTTTAGCATTCACGGAATGTATTTCTTTCTGTCATTTGCATCACATTAAAGTGAAATTCTACATAAAGGGATAAAGAGAGGATGTCCTAAATTACAGTTTTCCCGTAGTTGTCATGCCCACACATAGAAGAATCTGATGCATGCGCTTGAGTTGGATCCTACCTCTGAAAGGTTGTGTCAGTCTCTGTTTGTTTGCGGGTTTTATGTGGCTGTCAAGGCTGGGTAGAGCTCTGGAAGGTCACACTATCAGGACAAAGCTAATAGAGATCATGGCAAGGGCAGGGGGGCATGGAGGGAGGGCGTGTGATTGTGTGCGTTGTCAGAACAACGCTGTTAAATACTGTGCCTGCATTTCCTCATTCCACAGTGCACTAGTAAAACCTCACTGGTCTTCCTTAGAAGTAGTCTGCTCTTTTAAAAAAAAATATGTATTTTTAAAAATTTACATGATAACTACATCTTTTAAAGAAAGTCTGTGTTGTCACAGTAGCCCACTTCAGTGAAGTCATGGACATAGATTTGTCATGGGCATAGATGTTGTGATATTAGCTCTACATAGTACACCATGCAAGAGTATGTATATTTACAAGACTGTTCCATAAAAGCTTGCTTCATATCCAACACGTGTGTATATTCTTGTGGGTAGAAACATGACTCATGGGTTATAGGTGAAGTTGAAAATAATGGCGATTAGAATCACAGTGCTTGGTAGCCCCTCTTCAATGGGACCCCAAAAATGAACTTCCAGTTTTCACTATCCTTTTGTCAGCCATGGTGTACGGCAGCTGAGGGAGAATCCTGGGAATCAAGGAGAGGGCACTTTGTGTCCTAGATGCCCTGCTCTGCTTCTCTGTAGCTGTGAGAAAACTCTGACCAAAGGCAACTTGGGGAGGGAAGAGTTTGTTTGGCGTATTGATCGCCTTACATCACTGAGGAAAGTCAAGGCAGGAACTCAAGACAGGAACCTAGAGGTAGAAACCAAAACAGACTCTGTAAGAATGCCATTATTGGCTTGCTCTCTATGGTTTGATCTGTTTGCTTTCTCACCCAACCAGACACTGAATGTCCAGGAATAACATCACCCATAGTAGACTGCCCCCCCGCCACAAAAATAATTAATCCACTAAATGCCTCAGAGACATGTCCACAAGTCAATCTGATGGGCAAACTCCCTCAATTAAGGTTTCCTCTTCCCATATGACTCTGGCTCATGTCAAGTAGCATGATTGATTAAATGGAGTCAGTATCTACCCAAGGCCCTTCAGCCCTTCCCTTTTTTCTTTCCCCCTCTCTATCTGTGGGTTGTTTGTTTGTTTTTGTTTTTGACTGTGTTACAGTTTGACTTTCTGAGACGTGGTCTCACTTTGTAGCTGAGCATGGCCTTGAACTCACCATCCTCCTGCTTCCTGCCTTCAAGTGCTGGGCTTGTGGCCGGCCCTACACCAGCTCATCCCAAGCCATCTGTCTTCCCCCTCCCCCTCCCCCTCCACTTGACGCTCTCTGGATTAAGTTTGGAGTTGGGATTTTAACCAAAAAATGTATTCAGGGTTTGATTCGTTTATGCCACAACAGATGTTTTCAATACCTAAAGTAATTTTAAATAACAATTTGGGGTCAATGGGAAATTAGCATTAATTAGTTAGATATATTCTGTCATATGTGTACTACTTGTGCTTTGAAAACTAAATTAGATGTTGTGAAACTGGTCTCCACCGCTCGACTGCATTCATTCAGGGAAGCAAACCAAAGTTCCTCGGTTCAACCAGATATGATTTTGGTTTCCATCTAATCCATGCTGACCAGGAAGGTGCTAGCAAAACTCAGAAATTAGGACACTAAGTAAGAGCAAAGAGTGACTCTGTTAGTTATTGTTTAACAAGAATCAATAATTTTACCATAATTTATTAAACTGTAATTTCATCTAGAACGCTACTGCAAATTGGTCCTTGGTGCTGATATTCCTTTGATTTTTTTTTTAAAAAAATAAGGTTTCCTCATTCTCACCTCCTAACTCATCTGCAGCACAACAACATTACATTTTTAACAAATTCATAAGCCCACAGAATATGTTCTTTTTTGCAATGATACTCACTTGTAAGTAACAGCAAAGTAAGTTGAAATTTGTTTCAATACTCCATGTCTGAAAGATTGCCTCCACATTCAAGCAAAACCAGTAACCAGTTATCCGCCTTAGCAGAGTCAACCTTGTGCCTCACCCTTTCCTTTCTTCCTGACGCAGGCTGTTGATGGGCCTTGGCACCTGTGCTTCATTGTTTTCCCATTTATTCCCATCATAAGAGCTGCTCTAAAAAAAAAAAAAAAAGAGCTGCTCTAATACTTACTATGTCTGCCTATGTTCAACTCACTGCCCAGTGATTTCTAAAACTGCTTGAACTTTTCTGTCTTCTCTCTAGCCAGGACTTATGCAGTCGCTACTCGCGTCTCCAGAGATGCATGCAGCTCCGATTGATTCTAGGTTGCTACATTGCAGCATTAAAGATTTTGTGCCTCAAAAAATGTCTGGTACCATGGAAGTCACTGAAGCATGGTCGCACAACCTCTGCCACCCATTGCTGTTTGTTTCCTGATTTGTTAGAAAGGAATAGCTAATTTGCGATGTTTGCAAAGCTTCTGTCTAAACCTGCCAAGTAAGATGTCATTTATACTCTTTCCGCCTCTTTGTGGTTTTACCTATAAAGAGGCAGGGCAAAGAGGCTGAGTAAGGTCAGCTGTTTAACTAATTGAACTGGCCTTAAGTTTACTATTCCTTCCTATGGTTTTAGCCGTTCAAGTTCAAGTTTTCTCTGAGACAACTGATTTATATGAGCATCCAAAGTCATGGGTGTAATCCTGACAGAAATAAAAACTTAGATTTATTTTAATCAGTATAAAAATGATGGATAAGTTAAGAACCAAATAAATATATACAAGCATATATATGTGTCTGTATATATGCATGTATATATATATATATATATATTCACTTAATTCATGGGGAGTTCTGTCTTAATAGCTTTGTATAGCATGTCTGTAGAGCAGTGAATACCTGGGACCTTCCTAGCATCATATTCTTTCAAAGTTTTGCCAGACCTGTTTTTCTAGATCATATGAGCATACCCTAGTGAAGGCTCCCTGAATCATTTTATCTGTCTTCTTTTTCTACGTAATAGATAAATTATTTTTGTATTCCTTCAATCTACCAATCAGGATCAACTTGCCTTGGTTTGCTCCAATGCCCCAGCTGCCTTTTGGGAAGGTACTCTTCAGTAAGGGACTGTTTCATAAGTGGTATTATAATTGTCCTTCTTCCTCTTCATGCATCTGACTTTCTCCCCCCCATCGTATGGATTTTACAGACTCTGCATCATGCTAGGAACCAGGCCTATCATATCCATCAAGGCTAGTGAGCTAATATACCCAGTGATGTTTACTCTGAGTAGTTAAGAAAGAAAGGCAGGTTTTTGGCTTACTTGTGGCCAGAAGGCTTGTCTTAGAACTTGCTCCCTCTACACTGTATTTCAGAGAAAATGTGAGGTGCCCCCAGGGCAGAAGGCAAAGTCTGGCTGAACCCATTTAATATTCTTCCAAACAGTATGAGATATGCCTTTACATAATGCCTGCAGGTGCTAGCAGGATTTTGTAGACCCACAAGTCAAGTGACTCTTAAAGATTTCACATTTTCTTCAAGTCCTATGCCACATATTTAATGTTGGAAATTCCCACTTCTCCCCGCCCCCCTCAAAAAAGTGCAAGAGATCAGAACTTAAAGTACTCCATTTTCCTGTTGCTCCACAATCACCATCTTCCCAGCTCCATTGAAACCTGCCAGCAATAAATTCCAGGCAGCTTTCTAATTCTGTCAGCTAGACCCCATTTCTAAATATGAAAAAGACCAGGGAAACTTGTCCTCTTTTAAGGTCTCAGCTTCCCCAGTCATGAAAATGTCCTTTTCCTTTTTGTTGGTAGATTTGTGCTTTACCCTGTTCCACATCCAGCAATCCATTTCATAGTCAAGCTACAGTATGAGGCATAATACTGCGAACGTATTTATGGGAAAGTGTGGTGTTTCTTTTCTTTTCCTCCCACAGGAAGATATGTAGAAGGGAACTGCGGTCGTTACTTATTTTTATTCCTCTTGCTTACATCCGAAGAATTGCCAGGCTAGTCTAGTTGAGGCATGCATGTTCTCACAAGTTCGCTGCTCACCCGGTCTGGGTCCCAGTCAATTCCTCCTGTATCCTAGGCCCTGGTGCATCGACACTGACACATTGATGTTCTCCTTGTGAGAATTAGCCTATCACATTCATTTACATCCACTTAATTGCTGCTGCTATTGTTTAGTCCGTTAACCTCCAGCTAGGGTGCAATTCACGTGAACACTGGGGAAGCACAACCATTCGATTAGTTCTGCAAAGTAGATTAAAATCTTCTGCCTAATTGGAGACTGTCCATACTGCTGCCTGCCTTCCAGCTCTGCAATGAGCAGGCCATGTGTCGTCAGGCAACGGTTCTCGGTTGGACGATGGCAGTCCTGACCCGAATGGATAGTGCTCTGTGAGTATGCTTCTATGCAGGGTGGCACTGTTAGAGACAGTGGTGACAATTATCACCAGCCTTGTCCCCAACAATTAGCAGCAGCTTGCCTCATTCATTCTTGTGAGGGCTACACACACACCTGGAGAATCCCAAGTTTGGTATATGATTATACCATTAATTTACCAAATTTGAAGGGATTTTATTTTAGAATTCAGACACTCAGTAAAATCCTATGAAACAATTGTATAGTTTGGGGAAGGAAAATGAGAATCAAGAATATGAGTTATAAAGAAATATGACTTGATCCAAAGCAGAAGGTCCTGTCGGACATGACTAATTTACACTGAGCCTAGCTTTGGCATGGCAGCAAGCCTGCACTGGTGACTAAGTTGCTGCATAGTGGTAATGAGGGAAGTCTTAATACTTCCTTGGCAATGTATTTTCCTTTATTTCCAGTGAAGTAAAGTGCTTTAGTATGTATGTTTTTGGTTGGTTTGGTTTGGTTTTTGGTTTTTGAAGATACATTTTTTTCTGTGTAACCCTGCAAACCAAGCTGGCCTTAGAGATCCACCTGCCTCTGCTTCCTGAATGCTGGGATTAAAGGTGCACACCACCAAGCTCAGCTGAGGTGCTTTAAGAGGTTGAATTATGCTTTATCTAAAAGCAATAAAAAGCTTAGATTCCTTACCCGAATTCAAGAAGTGGAAGTAGGTCAGATTTCTTCATTTAGTCTAGAATGCTTGTCTCAATTTACATTCAATCCATCTCTCTGGCACATTTTCTGATTTTACTAAAATTTATCTAACAGATAGGACTCAAATGTACTTGAGCCTTTTATGGCCTAGCATCCTTATGATGCTGGTCTGGCTAATGCAGAAGGGGTGGGGTGTTCTTATAGATATGATGGTCACATATAAGAAGTGCTTAGATTAAGCTTTGGAGCCAATCTGAGATGTAATCTAAAAGCATATTACATGGTGTACATCAATCACGCCATTTAATTGTCTCAGCAGAAAGCATGTTCTACATCTCTTTATAGATTGACTGGGGCTCAGAAGGGTTCAGTGACCCATATGAGGTAACACAGTCATATGTAACAAATCATTGAATTGAAAGTCAATTCTAAATGCCTGATAGACTATTTCATTCCCACTACCCATGCCCCAAGAAGAGAAAAATCATGAACTGCATCTTCAAGAAGGAGTAAATGTTCATAGGATGGAAAAGACGGGAGCCAATGTTTTCTCCGGGCATCAGTTGGGGCTGTGGGTATAGCAAAGCAACAAGAGCACAGGAACTTTGATGGAAGGGGATGAAAGGCATTGGTATAGAGCTTGTTACGGCTGCAAGAAGTCTAGGAGAGACAAAAAAAAAAAGGTGGAACCTTTCTATCAGCTTTTGACTAGGACCAGCGACACACCGAGGCTGACTTGAGAATCAACAACTCTAGAATTTGAAGCCATATTGATGCATCTCTTGAAGTCTCCTTGTATTCTCTACAAAGGCTGAAGAAGTGGCAGTAATGCACAAGCCCACAGTGGTGCCTGTTGTGAATCAAAGTCTTTGGCTAATTTATCAATGCTTCACCCTCTCCTCCCTGATCTGCCTTCCCATTTTACACAAAGAAGGGGAACAAGAGAGAGAAGGAAGAAATAACTGGAAACAAAGACACTAAATTACAATTATCCTTCATGTTGGGAGAGATCCTTGGGGAGAGCAAAAGTGGGGATTCCATTTCATGTTGAAATATATTTGTTAGTAGTCAAGGCAGAAAACTATTTCCTAACATAGATTCTTTACCTATCACTTTATTAGCATATAGATATAGATATAGATATAGCCTATAACTTTATTAGCAGATGTTAACTAAAGATGCATGGGCTTCATTTGAAACTCCTTGGACTTCTTGGAGTTGGCAGCTACAGAAAACCCGGAGGCAGAAGAGGAAAATGAAGTCTTGTCCAACCTCTTCACAAGTCTGCACTTACAGGGGCCCTCACTTGAGAACACAGTACCACATCTTCACATCTCCATAGTCCGGCAACTCAGGGCTCATGGCACAGATGCCATTCGTAAAGGTGGAGAAAGAAAAGCAGCTCAAGGAAAAGAAGCTTACAGATCCTCCACATTTACTGTTCTCATTGCTGTGACAATAGCCCGAGATTGACATCTCAAAGGAGGGATTTGTTTGGACTCATAGTTTCAACGGCTTTGCTCCATGATTGTTCATCGCTGTTTGAGCAGAATATTATGGAAGCAGGAGTATGTGGTCATAGAGAAAGCAATTCACCTCATGGCATCAGGAAGCAGAGAGTGGAGGGGCTCAGGATCAGGTTCATCTTTAAGGACCTGCCTGTAACAACCTACTTTCTCCAGATGGGCTACCTTCTGAAATCCCAGAGGGCTCCCAAGGTAGGTCCACCAGCTGGGGAGTAAGTGCTTAGCACATGAGCCTACAGCTGTCATTTCCCCTTCAAATCCTAAGACCCTGAAAGTGGGTGCATCAGCACATGGGCAGAGAACATAAGGCCTTCATGTAAAGCATGACCCTTAAGTGGGGATCCAGGATTCGGCTGGAAAGTCTATTAATCCTTTCAACCCATGACCCTTTAAGAAGGAATAATTGGGGTAAGGAAAGGAAAACTAATGGCCCAGAAAAACAAAGTACTTAAGGCAGGAGCATTCTTCCCTGTGTCTTATAACAGTACTATACAAAATCTATAACAACATACCTTGTTTGGGCACCAGACTTCTGCCTTGG